ATGCTTTAATTATGTTCAATTTGTAATAATGAAAATACATCCTGCATATCAGATATTTACACTATGATTCATAACAATAGCAACATTACAGTTATGAAGTAGCAACAAAAATAATTTTATGGTTGGGGGTCACCACAACATGAGGAACTGTATTAAAGGGTCGCGGCATTAGGAAGGTTGAGAACCACTGCTCTAAATCGTACACTTTAAAGTGGTTAATTTTATGTTACGTGAATTTCCTCTATTAAGAAAAGCACTGTACGCTATGAAAACCGCTCTCCTACTCGGTGTCCAGGTGTCTGTGGGAGGGGAGGAGGGCAGTGGCGAGGGCAGAGGCGCCTCCAGCCTGGTGCTGAGGGGTCACTGTGAAGGCCAGAGGCCTTGTCGTGGCCTCGGGGTAATTCAGGAAACAGGGTGATAAGCAGCAGGTCCCCAGTAACAGCAGCGAGGAGGGCACGGGCCCAATGGGCTATCATTAAAGTTTACTCAGGTGCAATCTGGGCTGCAACTGGGACCACCTGGAACCTTAAAAAGCTGTGGAGGCAGCTTCCATTCCAAAACATTCTGGCCTCATTGGCATCAAATGTGACCTGGGCAGCAGGATTTTCACACGGGGCCTGGATGGCCCCACTGTGCGCTCACGTGGCGGAATCACTGGCCTACCAACAAGGCTGTGGGCTTCCCGGCTTCCCCCCTGGGCTAGACGAGCCCCTGGAAACCACAACAAAGGTGCTTACCCCGCTGTGTGTGGGAGTCCCTCTGGGGACGTTAAAGGTTACTACTGCCCGGCCCCCTCCCAGACTTTCTGGTCTGGGGTGCAGCCTGGACACAAGGACCTGTGAACGCTTCCCAGGTGATCCAAAGGGAGGCCAAGTGGGAAACCCTATGCTAAACAGTTTCCTAAATGTCTCTGGGAATAAAAATCAATGATACTCTTTTAAAAGATAGAGAGAAAGAGGGTGGCAGGAGTGCCCCGGTTCCCAGCCCAGACCTGCAGCTCAGGGGGGCCAGGGTTATTCTTATCAGTAAAGTCTGGGAAACTGTGCTAAAAATAGATTACATGTGAAAACCCACGTGTGTGTGCATGTGCGAGAGAGAGAGAAATGTCCTGCTCTGTGTTCATAAGTGACAGGGGCCTGGGGGTGAGAGAAGCACAGGTGTGGGCTCTGGCCTCCAGGGTGGGCCATCAGCAAAACACAAACTCACATGCACCCCACCTGCTGCCGCTTCCACAGGACCTTCAGGAACATTTTCTCTGCAAATAATGAGGCTGGGAAAGCTATCCTTGCAAAGAGCTCAGAGCATTTGATGGTGCCATTCAGGGCCCCAGTCAGTGTGCCAGGCAGAATTACACCCACAGAGTCACCCCCAGACCGGTGCGCCTTCCATAAAATGTTGATTTTTAAGGCCATAGTCATGCTGTGTGGCACCCTTCATTGCCACTAAGTAATTTGCAGTGAAATGGACATCAAAGAGAAACCGAAAGTGTGTAAGAGCATGTGCTTGAGAGCTGTGGCCTCAATGATGGGTCAGGAGCCAGGACTAAGGGGGCCGGGATGCCTGCTTCCCACCAGTGCCTCCCCTGAGATCTCAGGACCAAAAGGCCCAGTGAGGCAAGAGGCCCATTTTGTGGTGCAGCCTTCCCATCCAATCAGAAGTCAAATGGGGGATGTCGAGGAGAGCTATGACCGAGGACCAGGAGTCCACAGCTGCCCCCTCCCTTGTGCTCCTTTACTCAAAGCAACGTCAGCTGTAAGTGTGCGCTCTGAGCCAGGGCTCCCTCCGGAGCAAAGCACACCACCCCTGGGCCTCACTTCCCCAGTGTCTGAGGTCTGGTCACTCCAAGTCTTGCTGCATCACCTGAGAGCTGTCGAAAAGCAGGGTCTGAGCCCCACCCAGACCCACGGAGCCGGAACCTCCCTTTTCACAATTCCAGAATCTTCCAGTTCACATGATCCCAGGCCACCCAGATGCACATTAAAGTTTGGGAAGGCTGATTTAGATGCCTGTTTCTATGAATCAGACCATGGGCTCCAAAGAAATAGAATGTGGGCTCCTCTCCCTTGACTTTCATGGGAGTTATTGGAAAATAACTCGTCACCTGTTAGGTCTCAAAGGGATCTGAGAGTTCACCAAATTCCACTGCTTCGCTTGGCAGATGATGAAAATGAAACCCAGAGAGGTAGCAGGATTTCAAAAGGGAAAAGCAAAAACCAGAACCAAGAAATTTACTCTCAAATTCAGTGTGCCTATCGCAGGGCTGAGGAAGGCCAGGTACAGTGGCCATGAAAGAAGAGGTGACAGAGATAAAACAGATGATGGAGCCACACCACTACAGACTCTGAGGGGTCCCTCAGAAATATGGAGGGCAGAGCACCGCTGCGCCCATTCTCAAGTCTGCTCTTCGTTATGGACTCTCAGGGTTGACCCATACAGAGAAACACCGATGGGCTTTATCTTCCCGGCAACAGTGTGCTTTATTTTCAGGGTGATATTCCGGCTTGTGAGACCGCCGAGGCGGTGCAGGAAGATGGCCATCGGGAGTCAGCTCTGTCTGCATCCATCCAGCTGGGCTCCACGGGTGACCCCGGGGTCCACGATGTCCCCAAAGTCTTCATAAAGTTTACCCCAAGGTCCTCAACACCCTTGGCCAGATCATTGAAAACTAAGCAGTGCATTCTACTGGATGTGTATACATCACAGCCCAGCCTGTGGAGACAGGCTACTCAAATGAGCTTCCCCACCAAAGGCTCCCCTTTAAATCCAAGCCAGTGAACAAAGGTTGTCCGGAGAGCTGACAGCTCCCTCACTTCTCCTCGCCACTCATTTTAAGTGTTCTGCCC